TTCATTGTTATTATAGTTTTTATTGAATGTAGCGAAATTAATAGACTCAACACTTTCCAATGCAGAAAGTATTGTAATTTTATATTTGTAATTTGTAATTTGTAATGAATGATGAACTATTTTCTCTCACATCAAGTTCAAATTTCAAAATTTAAATTTAAAAAGCGAAATATTTTGTAACGAATGCTAAACTTTTTTTCCACCTATCAAATAAAAAATTCAAATTTGAAATGTTTCTAAAAGTGAAAAAAATTGAAGTGGTTTGTAGTGTGAACACAAAGTAGATATTGAATGAGAGAGCGACACGTCAGCAAATTTATCAAAGAATGATTTTCCGTTAGTATAGATATAGAAGATATGTCATTTCTTTTTTCTTTTTTTTAAATTTTGAATTTAAATTGTTTTTTAATCAACTATACATATTTTTTAATTTTAATTTTTTTGTTTAATGTATAATTTTATATTAAATTTAGGTTTATTATATATAACTTTATTCTAGTTTTATATATATAGTTTTTATTTTTTGTCATGTATATTATACCTATATTTAAAAATACTGCTATTCTCACTAATCAAAGAAAAATAATTGTTAAAATTCTTTCAAAGCCTGAGAAAGCAAATTAAAGACATTTTTTTAGAAAACAAAATAAATATGACTTAATACATTTTTAGATGATACTATTTTTTATTATTCCATGTATCAATATCTCATTTAATCTTAATATTAATTATTTATTTGGGAGTATACTTTGTCATCCTTAAAAAATACTTGTTTTTACCAATAAAAAAAAGATGACTTGTTTTAAAAATTTTAAGATAAAAAAGAAATAACTGGTCGAAAACATTATAAGCATAAGTGTAAAACCAATTGATCCTGCACCTTAGAAATTTATTGAGCATTGGTTTTAACTTAGTGTTATGTTTAAGTGTAGGGGTTGCCTAAGTCGTGCAACAATTTAAGTGTCATTTGTAACTTAGTTATTCAACAAAAAAAATAATACTGAAAAAGAAAATTAGAAAAGAAAAGAAATAAAAAAATAAAAAGATAATAAAATTCAGTTCTCATCTTTGTGTAGTGTTTTCTTTGCTTTATTTTTATTTTGTTTTTATTTCAGTTATATTTCGTTAATTTATATTTTATTTAACTAATGCTCTTTTAAATTTCTTGGGTGCCTAACCTCTCAATTCCATACTCATTCATACCTTCACCCCAGTCCCATTTCAACTTTGAATAAAGTTCTCTTGATTTATGCATGCATTTGTTTTTGTAGTGGAGAAGTAGAACTTGAGCAAGCCTGTGGTAGGATAATTTTCTTAAGTAGAATTAGAGTGATACACTTATTTAACTCATACACTTGAGAGATTGATTAAGAGCATCCATTGAGAGACCATTCTACACAATCAACGTTGTCATTTGAGATTACTAGGTTATGTAATTTGAGATAATGAGATTTCTGTTTTAACTTATTGATCTGCTAAAGTTTTGAGATTTATATTCGAGCTGTGTATTCTTGACAATTGTTAGAAAGGATAGATTAATCTTTTAGTCTTTACTTTTATTTTGTCATTTCTTTTGTTTGTTTTGAGTTTTGATTTTGCTCGGGAGTGCAAAAAGATAAGTGTGAGAAAATTTGATGATGGATATTTTATTGCACTTATTTGCCATTCTTGATTAGTGTTTTAGGATTATATGGAATAAATAATAGTCTTTTGGGTTAAATTAGATTTTTGACTTTTTATTTGGTTTAATTTATTTTCGTCATTAATTTTCAACTTTTTGTTACTTTATTATTTTGACCATAACTCATTCCACAATGTCCAATTGACCTCATTCTTATTGCGTTTTACAGATAATTCAGAGGGCTACAAATGTTATGGAGACATGAAAGCCCAGTTCGAACTAGAAGATGTCGAAATTAAAGCCCAAGTCAAATGTTGATTACTGTAGTTTTATTTTATTATTTGGACTTGTAATTATAAATTAGAACTCAATTCTTCTGAGGCCCAAGGCCATTGTTTTAGTTTTAATTCTGTTTATTTTATTATTGTGGGCCGAAATTAGTGTAACCCTAACCCGTCTTGGCTTAAGGTTAAAAGGGATCGTTTAGGAAACTTTTCAGCATTCTTTGTTTTGGAGTTTGTACATTTGACGACTTTTCTCTGAAGGATCAATCTACATTTTTTCTGTTCATCTTATTATTTTTCTTCTTCATCTTCTTCTTTTAATTATGTTTATCTTAGTCATGTTGGGCTAAGCTCTTTTTAATCAACTCAAGGGTTGGAGATTCCATGGTTGAATCTTGAGGATCTGTGTTTCCTTTGGACTGATTTTGTTTCGCTTTCCAACTCATGTTGACATCGCACGATTGTGGATCTACAATATGAGACATGTGATTACGTCCTTGGGAAGAGATTAATCATTTGATTTAATGATTAGATTGGTTTACCCAACGACCTTAGGTCATTCAAGCTAAAACTCTGCGATCGCATGAGTAGAAACATTGTATTTGACCAAATGCTAGGAGATCGTTTAGAGAGGAGTTCCTAAGCAAATGCAGGTATTCCGATTTGCTTAGAGTCATTCACAAAATTGATAATTATTCATCCAATGATAGATATCCATGGAAATCCAATTCTAGGTTGGTTTCTTCTAATTTAAAGAAATCTCATTTTTATATTTTGTTTTTTTATTCGAATTGAAGAATTTATTATAACGTTTTTAATTAGTGATTTCAACTCTTAAAAATTTCCTTGAGAGACGACTCAGGTCTTTTCTTTTACTACAAACCTGATTTAATTAATTTGCACGAGTTCGACAGCTCATGTCACGTTATGTCACGTTGATCCCACTGAAGCTGCCTGAAGTAGATGAGAATGCCAAGGCAAAGGCTTCAACAACCCCAGGAGCTTCAAAAGGTGATTTGTCCCCTGGTCATCCGTCATCAGAGTTCAGAGCAAAACAACTTAGACAACACTACATGAGAAGATACTTTTGCGTTTTGATAATATTAGTAGTTAAATATTGTGGAAAGCAAGGAAAGATGAGAACCGTATTTTGGTGCATGCACATATTAGATGTGTAAAGTTGTATGTATTGCATAAAATATCCAAGCAAATATGTGTGTTGTAAGTACATGTAAATAGTGTATTATTCTTTTTCTTTTCTTTTATAATAAGTTAGTAAATCTCTCTAAGTGTTGTATTAAACATATTTGTATGATAAACAAGACTTGTATGTTTTATAGTAGTTACAATACTTTGAGAAAACAATGAATTTGAATAAATGATTACAATCATATTATATATTTCATGGAACATTGTATTGCATAAAATATCCAAGCAAATATGTGTGTTGTAAGTACATGTAAATAGTGTATTATTCTTTTTCTTTTATAATAAGTTAGTAAATCTCTCTAAGTGTTGTATTAAACATATTTGTATGATAAACAAGACTTGTATGTTTTATAGTAGTTACAATACTTTGAGAAAACAATGAATTTGAATAAATGATTACAATCATATTATATATTTCATGGAACATGATTGAAAGAAGTTATGAATGTGAGTCTTATATGTCTTTGTTTCAAATAAAAAATATGAGAATTATGTAATTCAAACCAGTTCGGAAATGGTTCGAAATCAATTTAGAAATGGCTCTAGTTCGTAAATGATTCGGAAACCGATTTGAAAATGGTTCTAATCAGTGGCGGACTTGTGTGTGCAATTGCACACACAAATTTTTTTTTCAAAAAAATATATATTTTGGGTCATCAACAAAAATTACATTACCCCATTTAATCTCTTAAAAAAAAATTCGTCTCGTGATCCCTTTAAATTCCAAAATAGACCCATGTTAGAGCCCGTTTGGATGAGCTTTTTTTCTTCAAAAACTGCTTTTTATAAGAAAAAAAGCACTTCTCAAAAAAATCTGTTTGGATGCCTGCTTCTAAAAAAAGCAGAAGTCATAAAAAAGCCAAAAACCTATTTTTTCGAAAGCTAAAAATTTTAGCTTTTAAAAAAAAAACAGAAGTTAAAAGCCAAATATTTTTTTCAAAAATCAAATATTTTTGAAAAAATTTAAATAGCTGTAACTTTTATAGAAAATACTTTTAAAATAAGGAAGTGATAAAAAAGACTTTCTTGAAAAGGCAATACAAACAAGCCCTTAGTCCTTTTGAGGGATTAATGTGAGTCTTTTTGAATTTTAGAGGACCATGATTTTGGTTATCCGGGTCTATTTTTGAATTCTGAGGGATTACGAGTAGATTTTTTTTTCCTAAGAAATTAAATTGAGGCCTGTAATCTTTATTGAGAACCCAAAATGTTCTATTGTAACAGTTTAGTTGATTCTTGATTACTTTTTTTATATTCAGTTAAAGTTTTTTTTTGTTTATATTCTTTTATATTTTAATATATTTAAAATTTTCTTTAAATTTTTTTTCCTTCATTCTTTTATTCTAAGTGTGCAGATATTAATTTTTTTTCTAAATACGCTATTGATTCTAATTATGAATTTATTTGAAATCAATTCATAATCAGTTCAGATTAAACCGATTTGAATCAGTTTCAACCCAAACTAAACCGGATCAATTAAAAATAAAAAAATTCAGTTCAAAGAATCTAAACTGTTTAAACCAGTTCAATTCGGTTACTTAAAAAATCTAGTTCAAATAGACATATACCCATCCCTAAACTAGAAATTTTTTAATATGCTCCAGATGGACCACCGTGATTCTTCTATTAAAAAATTGACACGTGATTCTTCTATTAAAAAATTGACATTTAAATTAAATTTTTTATTCTGTTTCTTCAATTTTTTCTCTCTTTCTCTCAACTCATTCCCACTTAATTTTTTTTGGTAAGTAACTTCGCTCCTAGACTACGTGCATGCCTCCCATCCCAAGGTACCACGCAACTTATCTTCTGGGTCCCACCAATGCTCTTCCTTTTTCCATTCTGCCAATACCATAAAACCTAACCTTTTTTCTTTGCCATAGTTTTTCTCTGCTCTCACAAAGAGACACACACGCACAAAGTAAAGTGGGTATCATCATCATAATCATGAACAAAAACAAGCGTTTTCTTCTCCTATTGTTATTGTCTTAGCTGTGCGTGCGGCTTCTTTTTTCGTTTCACATTCAATGGCCGTTGTATCCCTCTCTGTGCTCACAGTCACACCTTCTTCCACTTGTTCTTGCTTCAATGGCGGGATCCATCTCCGTTCCCACAAGAGCTTCATTTCAATCCACTCTCCTTCTCCTTTTTCGTCTTTTACCTCAAATTCAAAGCTCTCTGGCAGTGGCAAGCAGCGCTCTCGCACCACCACCACCGTCCTTGCTGCTTCCGCCGACTATTATTCTACTCTCGGAATCCCCAAATCCGCCACCGGCAAGGAAATCAAAGCGGCTTATCGAAGGTTAGCTCGTCAGGTATCCACTTTTCAATCACGAATTCTTGATTTTCGAAGTTGATTCTGAGCCTCTGGCGTCAAATTTTAAAGAATAAATTGTGGAGATTGAACTTTCAGTTTTTTTTTTTTATATATTTAAATTTGTTGCAATTTCGTGGCTAGTTGTTTCAACTTTAACTATGCACCTAAAACCATTCCTGCTTGATTTGATTTTGTTTTTTGTTGATTTCTCTCCAGTACCATCCTGATGTTAACAAGGAACCTGGAGCAACTGAAAAGTTCAAAGAGATTAGTGCTGCGTATGAGGTATGTATGGAAATGGAAAGTACACAGCTGACTGTTATGTTCAGCCTTCTTTAACGGACCAGTATGCATGTTCAAGTTCAACAACACTTTCAAAAGCAATCGACTGAATTTTTTTTATTGTAGTAAATGTATGGATGTTGGGTTTAGGGTCCCGAAATTTGTGCCATTTTTATTTTCTTTTTTAGTTTTGTGCAAAACTTTCATTAGAGGCATATAGGCATTGGTCCTTAATTGACTTTACAAATTTTTAGTTTATATGTAATCAGTTGTGCTTCAGCTGCCTGTAGCTTGATCCGATAAAAAAAATTTCTGTTTAATTCCAAGGTTTTCTTATTGGAAAGGAGGCTTGCTTTTAAAATATTTTTATCCATTTTGTCACATTTTGTAGTAGAATATATGAAAGTCAATGGAAACAGTTTTAGGCTATGAAAAAATGGGCAAAATAACAGTATACTACTTCAAAATACTTCAGTTTTAACAAAGATGACAGATCAAATCACAGCGGTTGTGAAGTTTCAAAGCATAGATAAGCAAAAATGATTATAACCAACAAATCATAAGTGCGTAATGTGTATTTTAAACTTCTTTTATTTTTATTTTTTTAAGTGCTGTGTTTTTAAAGGACTCAACATATAAAGTTGTATGGTAGTTGTTACTTGTTATTCTCGATTGGGTTTGTGGAAATGTCTAAAACTCCTGCTCTATGCTGCGAGCCTGTTTTGTAGTTATATCACTGAATATATAATTCTTTTAAATTATATTTATGTATTACCTTTTGAATTCTGAATTACAACACTGTCAGGTGTTATCAGATGATAAAAAGAGGGCTTTGTATGATCAATATGGAGAGGCAGGAGTTAAGAGTACAGTTGGAGGAGCATCAAGTGCCTATACGGTATTCAATATGAATTTTTTGTTTACTTGTTTGATACATATTCCAAAGGATGATAAAAACTGGCTTGTCGGGAGAATTACTGGTTAAATAGCTCCAACGCACATATGTTGCCTTCTTTTTGGGTAAAAATTGAAAAGCATGCTGGTTGAAGTTTTCTTTTACTCTATCTACCCTCGTTTTGCTGCTCCTTTAAGGTAGATTTACACTTACGAATCTTTTTCTTGCAGACAAATCCATTTGATTTATTTGAGACATTTTTTGGGCCAAGTATGGGTGGCTTTGCTGGCATGGATCCAGCTGGATTTGGAACACAACGCCGTAGTACTGTAACTAAGGGTGAAGACATCCGGTGAGTTATAATGTGGTTTGTTTGGTATGTTTCTTTTGGCCATGTTAGTCAGGTGAATGATTACAATATATAGTCACGTAACATGAAAATTGCTAGTGTTTAAACGAGACCTTATTCTAGTTTTTTTGAAAATCTAGTTTTGGTAGAATCCAATGGGCATTGTTATCACCATGTAGCCCATACCACCAAGTGAGATAAGGCTTGATTGTTGATTTGTTGTAACTTGTAGTGTTGAAAAACAGGAGGGTTTCCAGTAGAAAGGGACAACGGAGATGTGAGACAGAGAAAAAATAAAATATTTTACAAATTAGTCAGAATGGTTTTGATAAATGTAACAACTGATTTAGACCCTTATTTATATTTTTAATCTAGGTCAAATACAAATGTAGCACAACTAGTATAAGCCTAGCCCAATAACCCTCATAACGTATTAGCATAATAGTACTCTCTATTGCTCCTCCTTAAGCTTCCAATGGCTCTAATGCTTGAGTTGGGGCAGGCAGAGGAATTAGGGGAAATGATACAATGTGAGACAATAAGTTAACATTTTGCATAAAAATTTTACACGGGAAAAATATAAGCAATAACTTTCTCCAAAATCCAAATATTATCTTACAGTCTGACATTCTAATGTTTTAGTATTTTGGTATTATATCTTATCGTATCAATTGTCTAATCAGAATGTGACTTGACTGTTCTACATACGAAATCATTACTGCTTACGAACTTTTAATGAGAGTTTGCTGTAAATTTAGAAGACTTTTGATTCAAATGTCAACAGGTATGATTTTTCCTTGGACTTTTCTGAGGCAATTTTTGGAACGGAGAAAGAATTTGAGCTTTCCCATCTGGAAACATGTGAAGTCTGTACTGGTACTGGAGCAAAGATAGGCTCCAAGTTGAGAGTATGTTCCACTTGTGGTGGGAGGGGTCAGGTGATGAGGACTGAACAAACACCTTTTGGGTTGTTCTCCCAGGTAATGTGTTCTTTGCCTGATGGGTCTGGATATCATTTTTTCTCTCTTGAGTTTGTATGCTTTGCTGATGTGAAGAAAAAGAAAGGAAAACTCTTCATAATTGGTATCCGTACTGGAGATTTGAGATTTTCCTGCTGATGTGAAGATCTTGCTCTTGGGTGTATTTATGCGATGTAATTGATTGCCACTCTGGTACTTTCTGCAAAAGAAATCCATCTGCTGCATGAAATGACTGTGGAAGATACAAGTAAACCACAGACCTCTAACCTGTTCCCCTGGTCCCCCAAACCCCCCTCCAATAAAATAAAATAAAAAAGAAAACAAAGAAAATGAAAAAAAGAAGAAGTCAATTTGCCAATAATGTATTTTAGCCAGATACAATCTTTAATATTGATATATAGATTTGTTTTAAATAAAATTCTTTGAAATTTGAGTTCAGTCCCATGAGAAATGCTTGATGAGTAATTTTTTTGATAAAAACTGCTTGACTAGTAATTACAAAACAGAGGTTTTAACTTGTAAGATGAATGAATACCTTTCTTGAGAAGTTTGTACTAATCAATTTGAAAACTTATGTTGAAAAATTGATTTGTACTGATCACTTTGATTCTTTATGAGATGTTGTGCATTCAGTGCAGGACAAAAACTAAAATGGTTTGTTGTAGTAAGAAAATTGATTTTCTGATCTATGTCCAATAAGTTTCTACATTGCAGACATTCTGTATGCCCCTTTATAATTTCCCCTTTTTTTCCCCATGAATTGTTGACGCCCTTATGTTTTACTTTTGGGAATAATTGATTTATCTTTTCATCAATTGCTTATATTACTTCTTCAGTTCATTTTCTTTTTGTACACAATTTTCTTACATAAGGTTTGTACTTTTTCTTTACTTATTCTGATCTCCTTTTCAATGTTAGGTTTCAGTATGTCCAAACTGTGGAGGGGATGGTGAAGTCATATCTGAATATTGTCGTAAATGTAGTGGCGAAGGACGAATACGGGTTAAGAAAAATATTAAAGTTAGAGTTCCTCCTGGGGTAAGCTCGGGCAGTATTCTGAGAGTTGCTGGGGAGGGTGATGCTGGACCCCGAGGGTATGCTGTATTTATATTTATGTTTTGTCTTCTCATTGTGAATGTCTTTGGTGAATTATTTGATAGAAGCTATATTAGAATTTTTCTTGTATAGCTTTTATTTTATGTACAACATGATATACATTTCCATAAGTTTTTTCTGCCCTTTGATGAAAGAGGAAATATTTCTAGAAGGAAAGATGGATATGACAAAGCAGAAAGAGGATAAGTATCCATCCTCCTTAAACTAAACAAAAGCAAAGCAAAAGACATCCTTCAAAAGAGCATCTTGATCCCTCAACATCTTTACAAAGGAGACTTCCTCATAAGCCATGAAAAATCCTGAGCTGGATCAAGCACAGCTGTTCCATCGAAACTCGGGCATTCAGCTGCAACAAAAGGCACCAATGGGTAGCATACAAAGAACAATGCTGTCAAAGCCTACTCCAAATATAAATAGCTAATTGGAAATGTGAAAATAAATGTACAGAGAGTCACACATCAGACAAATTATGCTACTAATGTATTCAATGAAGTGAAATGGGATTTAATTTTCTTTGTTATGATATTATTGTTGATCTTTCTCTTTGTCGTCTTTGAAATTATGGGGAAAAGGAGTTGGATACAAGTATTTATCAATCTTGAAAATTCTGAATGTCAAAGACATGGAGATATTAAATTTTTTCATAGGAACTCTGTTAATTATTTTATCTATGCTAGGAAACAATCAAATTGCATCTTTTCAATTCCTGCCCTACAGAGGGCGTAGTATTTGTTTCTCTTTATAAAAATGGTTTATTTGTATGTGAATTCAAAATATATGATTGCTTAATTGCATGATTTACAAGCAGCTATTGATCTTCTTGTCATAGTAGGGGCCCTCCAGGAGATCTTTATGTATATCTTGATGTGGAAGAGATACCAGGAATTCAAAGGGATGACATTAATCTCCGCTCAACAATATCAATCAGTTATCTAGATGCTATACTTGGGGCTGTCGTGAAGGTAAATTAATTTAGTCAGCATTGATGCTTCGAGCTTGAGTATTTTTTGGATTTATTTTTATAGGCTGAATTGCTCATGTGGTCCTCTTAATTTGATTTAAGTTTTATTTTGGTCAATTTTCCATTGCAATAACGTTATCCCTGTAGTTTTCTTTGTTAACCTTGTGTAAAACATGAAACTGGCATGATTTTCCCTGATATTCCATTCAGGCCATGGCCTGAAGTAAAAATATTTTACGCAATAATAGTTCGATGTCTGTCCATATAATGATAATTATACTCGTGCCTTCCTTTGGATGGAAATTATGGTATTACTTTCTTACATTGGCCCTTGAACGTAACTAGTTGGACAATGCTTTGTTGTTCCACCAGTAAGCATTTTTATTGCCTTAGTGTCTCATGAAAAAACAGTCAGAACTGATGTCCCAATCGATACTTGTGCAAACATGTCTGGCTAATGAGATTTTATATTATTGAATATAGTTTGCCTTTTATTTTTTAATAAATCAAGTAAATGTACCTCTTGTGCTTTTGGTACTTCTGAGCCTTTTTTATATTTTAGGAGATTTTGTGCTTTTGTTTTGTTGAATGTTAAGATAATGCACCTAGAATTGGATTAGAGTTGTGTGTCGTGGGTCACTCTTGGATATTTAATTATTTTCCTCTTATCTTTTTGGTGTGTCACGGCTGATGTCACCTGTTACCTCGTGTCATTACAATCAATGGATCAAATTTTTGGGACTTAAACAGGTTAAGACAGTTGAAGGCATTTCTGAACTACAAATACCTCCCGGTACCCAACCTGGAGATGTCCTTGTCCTTGCAAGGAAAGGTGTACCAAAATTAAACAAACCATCAATACGTGGCGACCACTTATTTACGGTTAAAGTTACAATACCAAAACGTATTAGGTAACGAGTCATTTTATAATTTTGATTTTGATTTTGTCTCTGTGTTTCGATGTATTGTTTTCTTTCCTGTATCTTGTGAATCTATATCAGCAGTTTGATAAATTGCCTCTGCTACGCATTTTCAGTAAACAGGAGCGTGACGTACTTGAAGAACTTGCTTCTCTAGGTGACACAACGAGCAGTCGTTCAAAATCTCGTCCTAGGACTCACTCTTCCCGTAGGTGGCTTCTTTATTATTTGCATTATTGTTCCTTTCCCCCTCCCTATTTAACAATCTATGGGAACAGTTGTCATTTGACATCTTGAATCTGTCATATAACATGACATTTGGTTAGGACTTTTCAACATGGTTGCAAGTTGCCATAGGGAAATCTTACAATGTAATGAGTAGACTCTAGATATTGGAGTTGTGATTCATGTTTTTATCTTCTGCAGCAGGAAGTACAGAAGGTCCTGCAACTCAAAGGGCTGAAAGTCCAACAGCAGCAAAAGTTGCAGAAAAAACGGAACAATCGGAAGACCAAAACGATATATGGAATAGATTAAAGGACTTTGCTGGGTAATAATTTTCTCTTATTGTTTTCTATTTATTTGTTTTTCATTATTTTGTTGAGAGGGCCTTCGGTTTTCATAAATTAAAAACTTCCATACAGATTTTAATTACTAATTATGCAGAGCATCACTGTTTTCTTTCTTTTCTTTATTTAAAAAAAAAAACTAAATAAATCATTTCAGTTTTAGTAGCATAGAATGAAAGAATACGTAGAATACTATGAGCTCTAAGCTCTTGAAAGGACTCATAATTCTGCCCTTAAATAAGTTTGAGCATAGGTCTTGTTCTTCCATCTATATCAATTTATTTATGTACTCTTAATGCTATTTTTCGAAGTGAAAACTTATTCTTCCCACAAGAGTCTCTTTCTCATTGAGGTGATACATCAGAACTGAGATTGTGGAAACTGTGCTGGTGCTTTTTATTATTGTTCTGAGTCCTCAATGGTTTGACTGGAAAAGAAATGTTGAACTGGACTGGTTTATCTATACAAATTGATAGATTGTTTTAGATGTGCAATTCGTTTATGGTCATTTTATCGTCATTTTATCAGATGGTAAGTTGCAATTTTGTTTGTTTGTGCTAGTCCTACTATTAGGGTGGAAGTTTCCTCGTTGATCAATATTTGGTCATTGCTTTCTGCATGTGTTGACTAAAACTTGCCATTACTGAAACTTGCAGGTCTGTGGCAAATGGAGCGCTTAAGTGGCTGAAAGATAATCTCTAGTCCCATGGGATTATTAGAAATCTCCAGGATGTAGATTCCAACAGCAGCTGGAAGGGAAGGGACTATGCGGACATTTTATTCAAATGCTTTAACTGAAAATTGTTAGCTACGCAGCAAAATCAAACAAGTCATGCATATTCTTTTATTTGTTTCACGTGTAAATTTTGGCACCAGACAATTTATATCCCAGAGAGGGGCTAGGAGGGGAGATTGCTCCCCTTCAAATTCATGCAAATCTTTGTTTTAGACTAAAAGATAGTGTAGTATAAGTTCACCACCCTCAAGCTTAGTCTTTGTCTCTTCAAGCTTTTGCCCATATTATTCTTTATGTACGTAAAAATTTGGAGAGTTCTACAACCTTACTACTATATACTAATACACTATCTGGCCTAAGCTAGACTGAATTTTGCTTCTTTCGCCCCCTCTTACAATTTTTCATTTTATACGGAATAACTGGTTCAATGATCTTTGCATTGCACTCCATGAGCAGGTTGCACTAGAGAAAGCTAGTCTGCTAGTCTATATATGTTAGGAAGTCTAAGCTCTGACTGAATTACCTAAAATTTAGTTGTTATTAAGTGAATCCTAATGTTTAGTTTAGGTGAAATTTTTGTTTCATATGTCCTTTTTCGAAATACCAAATCTACAAAATCACCGTATCCGTTCGTTGCATACCTGCTTTCTTTTTTTAATTTAATTTTTTGTTATTGTTAAGATCACGGGTTGACCTTTGCCAGGAGATGTTTCCCGTGCAGCAATATGTTTACTCACATAGTGTTCAGTTTATCATTCAAGTCAGACCTTATGGTTTGCTTTCATTTAGTATAGTTGTCTAAGGCTGGTGTATAATATACTCGAGTTGGTTTCTATCACAATTGACACTAACATTTGTCTGATCAAAGATAAATTAACCAAATCAATGCTTCTTTACATAAACTCCTGAGACCTGAGATCAAATCAATGCTTTAATCTATGGACTCATGAAATGTTGCAAGTCTCAAGTTAGTTATCAGTAAATGAAAAGTTTAGTGCCATTGAAAAAGTGCGGTCTGATATTACAATTGACAGAGATCGATAATAAAGGTGCTGATACTTGATTTTTTTTATTTATTTTTTGAAAATATGGTGATATCTACTATAGGCTCTCAGAAATAATGCAGATGCAGTATAACAAACAAAGGGTATTATATAGTATTTTGATTTATAAATAAATAATGTGTGTCTATGGCTTTTGGCTACTTTCCTTGATCAAAAGTAAAACAGCAACAAGCACAGGAGTTAAGATGAAAACGAGAGCCAGCACAAGGTTGGGTGTGGTTATCTCAGGGAAAATAGCGCTGCCATACTTGATTGCTGCCGCACCCGCAAAAGAACCCACAACTAGTTTTGCCACATACGCTAAATCCTCCTATTTACATCATACAAAAACAAAAAAGAAAAGAAAAAAAGAGAGAGTATTAGCCATGCAATATGATAAATTGAGCAGAAAATTGACATAATAAACAAGAAAACGAAAGGGGTTTGATATTACTTGAGAAGAGGTATAAGAGGTGTTGGAGTTTTGATCTTGTGTTTTGGGATCCTGAGCTCGAGGAACAACACAAGACCACCACCTCGTTGTACTTGTAGTGTTTAAGCGAATTGACATTTGGTTTTGAAGGAACAAGGGTGTGTTTGGTTGGTTAACCCTCTGAAACATGGGACGACACATAAACCTCCAACCTCCTCCAACAAACACTGAAACTGAAACTGCCATATCTATTTGACAACCACAAACAGAAACGCCAACGGAATCTGTTAACATACTTACATAGATCCCAGATATTATAATTACGAAACTAGACACATGGGTTGCTCAATCCGGGCCCAATACCAGGCCCATTACGGGTTACAGTTTTTTCTTTTCTTTTCTCGTTAATGCCCCGCTTCTTTTACATCTGAAAGCTTCATCGTCATCTTCATCTTCATCTTTTTTTTTTTTTTTTTTTGATAACAATCTTCATCTTCATCTTTGTTAAAGCAAGAAAGGAATCATCGTCTTCATCCCAAACCCTAATTCTGCAAATAATTTGTTGAAGAAAGCAAAACAAGATGGTTCTGGCGCAGTTAGGGGGGAGCATTTCGCGTGCTCTCCAGCAGATGAGCAATGCGACGGTGATCGACGAGAAGGTTCTCAACGATTGCCTGAACGAGATCACTCGAGCTCTCCTTCAATCCGATGTTCAATTCAAGCTCGTACGTGACATGCAGACAAATATCAAGAAGATTGTCAACCTCGACGATCTCGCTGCTGGTCACAACAAGCGCAAGATCATCCAACAAGTACACCATTATCTTCTTCTTCTTCTTCTTCTTCTTTTATTTATTTTATTTTTATTGGAAATAATATATTATTGCTTTTTGTGGATTTTATTTCTAGGCTGTGTTTAACGAACTCTGCAAAATGCTGGATCCTGGGAAGCCCTCTTTCACTCCCAAAAAAGGAAAAACAAGTGTCGTTATGTTTGTTGGTTTACAAGGTATGTTGACTGTTTGTTAATTTACATGTTTACAATTAGGGAAATTATATATTTACCACAAAAAATGTTTATCACCCTTACAATCAACTTAATCACTGATTTCCATTATAGTCAATCCAACGGTTATACTTTTTGAAAATTATTGAATTGTACTTATTAATTAATTATTAATTTTCAATAAATTATAACTTTAGATTGACGGAAACCAACGGTGATTAGATTGGTTGTAAAGGTGGTGGTAAACAACGGTGATTAGATTGTTTGTAAAGGTGGTAAACATTTTTTGTGGTAAGTATATCCTGCCCCTTACAATTATTGATAGATAGATACTTATATGTTTTTGAAATGAATTCAGGTTCTGGGAAAACCACCACTTGTACAAAATATGCATATTATTATCAGAAGAAAGGCTGGAAGCCAGCTCTAGTGTGTGCAGATACTTTCAGAGCTGGTGCATTTGATCAATTGAAGCAAAATGCCACTAAAGCTAAGATCCCTTTTTATGGAAGGTACTTAGTTGGTATTTGTTATGGGTTTAATATTGTATGCAAGCCTAGAATATAGTACTGTTTCCTTTTTGAGGAGGAATGCGATGATGGTAGTGGAGATAGTTGAACTAAATTGTAGATTAATGGTTTGCGGTTAGTTATGCAGCATACATAGCCCGTGTTGATGGAGTGCGACCACAGTTATATTTACTGCTTATAACTTTTATGTCAATTCTGAAACTATGAGATGAATAATCCTTCAAGAGGTCTGGCTGTTTCTTTCGGGGAAATGCAATCTGAAGATTTAATTATAGAAAAATGGTCTTTAGTTGTTAGGGGAGATTGGAGTCGGTTTTTTAAAGGTCGTATAGTGTACATTGTTTTGCTGTCTCGGAATTTAGTAATTACTTCTTAAGGATGAATTTTGCTTTATATTGGGTAATGGCATCCCAAGCTTGCCTACTAGCGTTAAGTAAATGTTAAGTGAGGACAAGGTTAGATTGGTGATGATTGAAGAACAAAATAACCTTTACCAATTCCAATTCCAGGGCATATAATTGGCTTTGGCTGTTTATCACCTAGAAATTATATTCTATCTTCTACACTTTTTGAATCCCACTACCAAATTTCCTTATTTCGGTTCCAATTTCTGCAAAAGTAATACCATTTTCTCATATTTTACCTTCTTTCATGTTGTTTCTTGTTAGAGAAAGATAATAAGACGGGGAAAAGAGAGAGGGAAAAAGGGGGGATGTAAGGAAAAAGGAAGTTGTTGGCACATTAAAAGTACATGGGTAATTTGGAAGGTATCATACAACCAACAGAGCAAATACGAAGCCAATAACAAAATGCATTATCCTTTTTTTTCTTTTAACAAAGGATATCTGTTTAGTCTTGTCTGATGATTTCACATCTTTTTTTTTTTTTTTTTTCTTTCTTTATTTTTGGGAGTGGGCATTCATATTCAACCACATTTTGTTCTTGTTATAACTTTAGCTCCTTGCAGATGAGTTATGATATGCTGTGCTTGATATCATTGGTTTATGGCACCTTTATATCAGTTGCATTTCGTTGTCTATGATTTCAATGCTCAAGTAATTATTGCATTGCTGTGTCCTCATTCCTCAACAGCTATACGGAATCAGATCCTGTGAAAATTGCTGTTGAAGGTGTGGATAGATTCAAAAAAGAAAACTGTGATCTTATAATTGTTGATACCAGTGGGCGGCACAAACAAGAAGCTGCTCTTTTTGAAGAAATGCGTCAAGTTTCAGAAGCAACGGTATTTCCAGTTTATGCTATATGCATTTGATATCAATTTTCCAAGCCAGTAAATTCTAATATCTTTTCCTTGCATTGTACAGAAACCAGATCTTGTTATATTTGTTATGGATAGCAGTATTGGACAGGCTGCTTTTGATCAGGCCCAAGCATTTAAACAGACTGTTGCAGTTGGAGCTGTAATTGTTACCAAAATGGATGGCCATGCAAAGGGTGGCGGTGCTCTTAGTGCGTAAGTGTTACCAGGATAATTGTATTATATTTACTATCAACTTTTGCAACTACAAGGATTTCCTCCACCCCACACTCGCTAGTCGGGTTTAACGAGGAGTGGTTTTTTAAAAGGGACGAACCGGAGCAGTGGTAAAACTGTTTCTTCGTGACTGAAAGGTCATGGGTTCGAATCCAGGAAACAACCTCTTTGTTATTATGCAAGGGTAAGGTTGCGTACAAAGATTTCCTTCACCCCATATTCGCTAGTCGGGTTTAACGGGGAGTGATTTTTTGGTTTTTTTTTTTGCAACTATAAACAAATCAATTTAGAAGCTGATAATGCACTAGCCTAACAATCATACATGCAAGCGTATAGCAAATTTTTTTACCTAAATTTGAACCGCCTTCATGGTTTAAATTCTACATTATACGGAAATTAATTTTACATGATTGAAGCATTTGGAAAATTAGTGTTATATTCCTTTGAAATGAATGTGCTTGTATATATTTTTATGCATGTATAATGTCTGTATACATATTATGTGGTTTGGATACCTTAAGTCTTATTCATTTTATATGTGCAGTGTTGCAGCAACAAAGAGCCCTGTCATATTCATTGGAACTGGAGAACATATGGATGAGTTTGAAGTTTTTGATGTTAAGCCATTTGTCAGTCGCCTATTAGGTGCGTACTTTTGGGTTTTCTTTTTTCTTCTTACCCAATACATTATTACTCATCAAGGACATGCTATAATGTCCAAGTTCCTAAAAATATTGAATCTTTAGTCTTGTCAAATGGCTTTTGAACTAGGCATGGGTGATTGGTCTGGGTTTATGGACAAAATTCATGAAGTTGTTCCTATGGATCAACAGCCTGAACTGCTTCAAAAGCTGTCAGAAGGAAACTTCACCTTGAGGATTATGTATGAGCAGTTTCAGAACTTACTTAAAATGGGTCCTATCAGCCAGGTAAATTACCTTATTATGTTTAATTGGATTTTTTTTTTTTTTTTCTTGATACATTTACATTTGATGTGCCATACAGACAATGACGGATTCAACCACATTTGTTCTGTTATTCCAGTATAATACATTAATAATCGCTTCTATTTTCTTTTGACTAATTTCTTCGGTGATTTATGTAGGTGTTTTCCATGCTTCCAGGATTTAGTGCTGAACTAATGCCAAAAGGCCATGAGAAAGAAAGCCAGTCAAAAATTAAGCGTTACATGACAATGATGGATTCAATGACAAACGAAGGCAAGCATTATGAATTGATTGTTTCAAAGATCAACTTTACGTATACAAGGTTCAGATTTACATTGAAATAGCATTCCTCCACATGCTCACCTTTGACCGCTAATATGTTTCAGAGTTGGATAGTTCAAACCCAAAGCTCATGAATGAGTCACGTATGATGCGAATAGCTCGAGGTTCTGGTCGTCTAGGTAGGGATGTGATGGAGATGTTAGAAGAGTACAAACGTCTTGCAAAGATATGGAGCAAAATGAAAGGGCTTAAAATACCGAAAAAGAGTGAAATGAGTGCCCAATCCCGAAATATGAATGCCCAGCACATGAGCAAAGTCCTCCCTCCACAGATGCTGAAGCAAATTGGTGGCATGGGCGGTTTACAAAACTTAATGAAGCAGATGGGATCTGCTAAAGACATGATGGGAATGTTTGGTGGTGGTGGTGAGTAGTTGATTGAGCAGGGTTATGAGCTGAGGATAGTTGCTTATCGCAGGGCTAGAGACTCAGTTGAGCAGGTGATGCAGTTCGACTGATGTTGGATGCGCTGTCTGCAAAAGCCTAAATGCAAGATTAAAATTATATTTCCCTCTTGTGTACATTTTCTTATCTAGTCTTCAGGTGGCAACCAGAGTAATCTCATTCTTAAGATTCAGAATGCCAAACATTGCACCCCCTCTTCCCCTTGATCAATCGTACTCAGGGCCTTTTAGGATGACAGTGGCAAGTTCAGGTGGGCCTTTCAAGTTCAGGATTCACACACGTTCTAGGTTGGAAACAAGGTTGATGACTGGGCTTGCATATAGAGGTGTTCATCAACCGATTCAAACCGCAGTAACTGAACCGAAAACCGAAAAATCGAAAACCGAAAAAAACCACAAATTTTAATTGGATTTGATTGGTTTTCGGATTGATTGATGAAAATCGATCTAATCCAAACCAATCCAATATATTAATTTTTCTCTACCTACTTGGGTCTTTTTCTAATCATAACCCAAAAATTTCTAAATCCAAGATCCATTAATCCATTAACTAAACTCAAGAAAAAACCTAGTCACGTTTCATTAACAAAATTTCATTTGTATAGAGCTTCATATCTCATTGTCAAAAAAAAATTATATTATCGTTTATTGATGCTTTTGTATTTAAAAAAATAAAATTTACAAAGTCAATATATAAAAAAGATGTTAATTGCACAATAACCATGAAACAAAGTCAAAAAATTAAAAATCGATCCAATTCAAATCAAAAAAAATTGAATTGGATCGGATCAGATTTAATAAAAATTCAAACCGAATAGATGATTACATGATCAAACCGAAGGAATTGGATCGGATGATTTTTACTTTCAAAACTGATCCAATTCAGACCGCGAACACCCTTACTATGCAAAACCATGGCCGGGGAACTCATATCTTCCTTTCTTCAGAGGACGGCCTAACTTTGGTGCAGAGTGACTTAGTGGGCATTGAGTTGCCCAGAGCTTGTAGCTAGCTTTTCTGCTTTGTGTTTATTTTCCGTTAGTATTAAAAAAGAAAAAGAAAAAAAAAGAATTCAGAATTTTCTTACTCGAGTAACATTAGAAAAATGATATGTTGCTTTTTTATATTGATTGAAGGGAGAGGCGCAAGTATTAATTCTGGTATTAAATTTGTGCTGACTACAATTGATTAGGTAAAAATTGGTAATCACATTAACCACAACACCACATTAATTCTGGTGGAACAATAAAGGGCATGGTTTGTTCACTAAACGTGATGATTGGCTTTTATGATTAAGGCGTTACTGTTCGCAAACAATGTTCTTTAAGCAGGAAAACCATGCAGTTGCAAAATTATAGATAATATTAACTAACTCAGTAATATACATAGGGTATGCATGAAGTATAAAACATGTCATCTTTCTAAGAACTTGCTTAGAACAGTTTTTTGTAAATGGATTTCCTCTTCTTCATCCCCCTCAGATTTGATACTTGAATTTAGAGCACAACGAATAACAGAATTGATTTGTTTCCTTAAACTGGCATTGTCTACAAACATATCTGCCAGCATCTTCCTCAATTCATCATACGTTATCCCTGTATCATCTGTAGTTATATTGCGGGTCTCATCCACAGCAACAGCATTTTCTACATCTTGTGCTAAGAGCTGTGCCTGTTCCCATATTTGCAGACAGCATGTAAACAAAGTTAGTATAGAAAATTGCAAATAGGAAACTACAGGGCAACATGCAGTAAACAGGGTATAACCCATACGATGATGGCTACGTGTACTTTCAGATAACTCAATTAAAAATTTGACAACTCTTCAAACACACACTATCATAGATTTACACTGACAACAAAAGCAGATCAAATCTAAGCCATATAGCCATTGAATAACTCTATAAGATACATCCCTTTGAATGGCATTCGAGAAAAAAGATGCCAATGAAAATAACGATGGGTAAAGAATGCAGGGTAATGTCCAACGTTGGAGCTACAATATCATACCTCTGCAAGCAAGAGACCTATCCGATTATCTGATGTTGCTAATAAATCCAAAGCATCAGATGGCGAAGTGTCAACATTTAGTTTATCTTCCTCTTCAGCAAGGAAGTTTACACTACACTCCTGAAGCCTCTTCTGAAGGATTGCACATTCATGCAGCAATTTTGCATTAGCATTATGAGAAAGTTCCATTCTTTGCTTTTCCTTCTGGAGAATTTTCTGAATAAGATACAGCAAAATAATAACGTGAGATTAACTAAATTTCCAAACTTCTAGGGCAAAAGATATTTCCAAATGTGTGAAAAATACATGTAAATAAGATTATCGGAGGAACTAGTCAGAATAGATAATTGCATCTGCTCTACCTCTTCCTCTTTTAAACTCATTGAATCAGTCAAATTGATAGTTTCCAAGTCTAGAGGAATGATAAAATTATTCAGTGCTAGTTGCAACATACAAGACCAGAAAGGACCATACCTCCACGTCTACTTTTTCCTTCATCAATTCACTGAGCTGCTGCTTCAGTTCGAACTGAGAACTTCTAAGGGACTTGACTTCCTTTATTAGCAACTTCACATCTGTCTTTGATTTCATCTCAAATTCATCATGATGTTTCCGCAAGTGCTCAAATTGTTCTCTAGCCACACCTAATTCTTGCTGCAACATTTGCTTCTCCTGAATGATGGATGCGTTTGTTGATTCTGCTAGCAGCCTTTCATCCTAAATCATTATAACATTTCACCATAGGCCACAAAAATGGAATGGCATGCAATATTGATTAAAGTTAATAATCACAACCAGACCTCTTCGAATTTTAATTTCATTTCCGTCTCCAGGCATTTCCTTCGAAGTTCCTCCATGTCCCACTGCATTTGTGTAAGCCTTTCCTTTTCATTTAAAACAGCTTGCTGCATGTTTTCTCTGCAATTCAGTCGAGTTGTTTCAAGTTCAACCTCCAAATCTTTGACCTACAAGTAAATTTAAATATTTGAACAAGAGTATAAAAGTCCAATAAGATATCATCACTTCTTTTCACTTTTCCATCATTGAGATTCAACTTGTTTCAACGAAATTAGCATATCTCTGTTCAGTTACTAGTCACATTTATTAAAAATTAAAGGTAGCCAATAAATAAGTAACTACATTTTCATAATCAACACTCTCCACTTTTGCATAATGAGACTCAATCTATTAGAAGGATCTATACAGAAACTAATTCAGTGCTAAAAATGAATAATTTCAGCATTCAAAAGGACTTGGTGGTAATTATCTAACAACTAACAATTGCCAAAAATCAATTTAGTCTGGAAAAAATGTTGAAAACATTCAGTGTGGGGACCATCATTGACTACATTCACCAGCAACCCTTTCCCAATCTAAGTTATCAAATGATAATATTTTCCTTTTGTATAACCTCATTTATTTTATTAAATGCAAATATTTTTCTTTAATACATATTTAACACTGAAAAAGAAAATCTTTTCAAACATTACAAATTCAATGCTTAATTTTTCAGAACTAAAAGTTTTTAATTTTGTCAAATGCAGAGAAAACAGAATATGATTCCTTAAATTCTAGTTTTGACATCATTCAAATTGCAAGCCATTGTCCAATACTAGATCTGGGGTAAAAAAAAAAGGAACTTTGTAACAATGCTATTGATCATAAACTTACTTGGGATCTCTAGAACAGTATTTGCTTACTTGGTCATTAAATTTGACACATTGGAACCAGGAAATTGGAAATTATAGCTGAACATGATACTTCTTGTATTGAAAAACTGCTAATAACATCCATTTTGAACCCCCTAATCTCCTATGGTAAATACTTTTGACTGCTCAATCCGCATACTCAAACAACAAAATTTTCTGCAGATCTACTCATAGCATACGTACTCCTCCAAAAGCCTGATCTAGTTCTGTAAACAATAAACTTGTTCAACGGACTTCAAATATAAAACCAAAAGAGCAACCAAAGAACTTCACATTATTCATTTGCTTACTACTAATGGAGTACAGATTCAGAAGTTAATCCGCAATGAATCAACAGCGTGAAAGATAATTTGGCCAGTAGATGGCAGTTCTGCAGTTTGATAATTTTATGCACAGTGCTGCCACAAATGAGTATGAGCATGATACAGAGTATTGAAACAGTTTAAATTCTGAATTCCTAATCGCATTGTGCTTAATATGAACAACAAGCACATAACTTTATGTATGGCATTGATTTTAGGTTTAAAGAACTGAGAAACCATGTGCTGCCAAGGATAAACATCATGCAGCTGCTGAAGATTTATCCTAACTACATTTACTGGAATCAATAAAGCAAGTGACAAATGAAAATGTCTATTTCAAAATTCAGTAATAAATGAAAATCTTAAACATATATTGAATACCTTAGTTATGAGATACTGTCTTGCAGCCATTTCTTGATTCAGTCTTGCTATAAGATCCTCCACATCTGTTTTTGCAGTGGCCAGTCTCTGCTTCTGTGTATTAAGAATTCTGTTCAACTTGTTTCGTTCATCCAAATGAAAAGTCACCAATAAATCTGAGTTTCTGGAAGGTTCATGGATCCCAGGAAGGTTATGGGAAGCATCCTGAAGCAAAGTGGTCACAGTTGAATTTGATGTTTCAGTATTCCTAGAAGAGCTTATATCACTTCCAATGCTTTCTGTTGACAGTCTCTTGACATCAGCTTTCAACTTATCATTTTGTACTGCAGGTGTAAACTCAGTTCCATCAAGGCGAAGAGCAATAGCATCAGCAGGAATCTCAGTGACTTTGTCTGTACTATTATCCGCATAAATAGAGTCTTTGCTGGATGTGGCATGATCAACAGTTGTTTCAGTTGGATTAATTAAGTCATGTTCTAATGTTGAATTATCCCTGCCTTGATAAGAACATTTATCTTTTCCATGCCTTGGTGTTCCTAGATCAGAGACCTCATAAGGGGTATCATTACCAGAATTGGATGCAGCAGTTGAACTATGAGCCTTTACAGAACCATGTGCGTTATCTTGGAACATATATGATCGTGGAGTACCACTAGCAGATGTTTCATCTGAAATATGCTGATTCACATCATGGAATGCTGAAAAATATCAACAACAGAGAGGAGTTAAAAGTTTGTAGAACATCACGATGGACTGTTTTCATACTCTTTCAACTAACGAAGAACTACTTCAAAATCTAACATAAAATGATAAAATGTTATATTTAGGTTTATAAGGAAAACATACAAGATCTAGCAGCAGCTTCTAGCTCAAGAAATATTGCTGCTGGGGCACTTCTTGATATATCAATGTCCGATAACAATTTTTCCATCCAATCCGCTAATAAGCGCCGTCTCTGTAAGTGACCAATTTGTCAGTATCAAACTGCATAGAAGTCATTTGGCAAATAGAGCAAATAATCAAATGTTAAAAAAAAAAAAATTCTCAAGCTAAATAAAATTAGAGTAAAATATCTTTTGGGTCCTCAACAAATATCACAAGTCCCAATTTAATCCCTTAAAAAAAAAATTGACTTGTGATCCCTTTAAAATTTAAAATAGATCCACGTTAGTCCTTTTGAGAAACTAAGGTGGGTCTTATTTGAATTTGAATTTCAGAGAGACCACGATTTTGACTAATTAGATCTATTTTGAATTTCAGAGGTACCACAAGTCGACTTTCTTTTTCTAAAGGATTAAAATAGGCTCTGTAATTTTTGTTGAGGACCCAAAAGATACTTTACTCGTAAAATTAAGAGCAAAACAATTATTGCAGTAAATAATACGTAGTGACAAGCAACAAAAGATGGATAAGTTATGAACCTCTTCCAAAAGAGTCTGGCTTTTGATTCTCAATATCTTTTTTGGTGGAGCTGGAGGCAGATTTTTCATGGGAAATTCTTTTTTCAGCTGGAAGCAAAAATAAGTTGCTCATAACTTAATACTGAAAAGCAATATTATTTTTCCCCCCACATAAAAGTACACCTATAGATAGAAAACACACTTACTTCAGAAAACAAGTTCAAGAAATCATTAAATCTGCGTAATACTATTCGAGTAGTGGTGATTGCTTCCGGGGATTGTATACCAACTTGAACCCTGAAAAACTATAACCTAAGAAAGTTAAAAAGTTAAAAACAGAACGCAATTGCAAGAGTTGTAAAAAGAAAAAGAAAAAGAAAAGATAATAATTGGGTACATTTATAACTTATAAGTAATTAACAAAAAAAAATCGATGAATGAAAATACCACGATAGGATCAGAATTTATGGATTGGGGAACAGCAACCCATGAAGGAACCGTAACACAGAAACTCCAACCATTAGGAGGATGAATCGGCCAAACAGTGTTGCGTCCATCCTATAATCATAATTAATTATAATTTGATTTGATTACAATAGAAAAAAGAACAAAACATGAATAGAGAGAGAGAGAGAGAGAGAACCCATTTGCGAGGAGGAGGGCTCCAATCCATGCCGAAAGGAAGAGGGGAGGTTCCGTCGTGGCGATGGAACAAAACGGTGTCGTCTGGGCGATCATTATCATCGTTTTGAAAAGAGTGAAGATGATGTGCGAAGGGGTTGATAATGGGATCTGAATATGAGTAACCGTAACTGAAATTTATGTCAATTAATGACAAATCGTGTGCGTAGGGATGCATCCTTCCTTCTCCTTTCTTCTTCTTCTTCTTTCCTTTGTTACGACTTCACAGTATTCACCAGATTCACCTCAATTTCTCTTCTCTTAGCTCCTTCATCATTTCAATACCAGTGTAATTTCATTCATATAGGTCTAAATATTTAATATTTAATACTGTCATAATAAATATAAAAAACATATTTTAATATTTAAAAAAAAAAAGGTTATATTTACAACTCAAATAATTTACAAACTCTAATCCTTAAAAATAAATATTTAATGTTTGTCATTTTAAATTATACAAGTTATGTTATTTTAGAATAGAGATAGACACAAGAAATGAAAATTACGAGGACAAAGTGTGTGATTTCTTTTTAATTTAAATTTTAAATAAAAAATATTATTTTATGTTTATCTCTCTTAAAATAACATAACTTTATTTCATTTAAAATAACAAAACACTTTTTCCTTAAAAGAATTACAAAAACTTTTTTGTAACATCTTTTATAATTGCTTAGCATGCAATCTTACTTTAAATTAAAAAGTATAAGATTCTCACGCAGCTTTAGAAAATAAAAAATAAAGCATATGATAAAAAAAGTTAAAATTTAATTATACATAAGGCTAAGTCAAATACATTATTTCTTGTTTCTAAACTATTTACATCAAGTAGGAACTTTAACTAATCTTTTCATGAACTCCGTACTGTTCTTATCATCTTTAGTCACTAGTGTATTACCCCTGCGATGTACGGGGGAAAAGATCAAAATATTTGTCGTCCGCCGTAGTTGGTTAATCGCACTGCAAACTTTATACTTATAAAAACCTGTATTGCTATCTTATTTTTTTGCAAGGATTTGTGCCGTTAGTATTTGGAATTTTATGAATTAGTATTTACAAAAATTAAAATCTGAATTAGGAATTTAATTATAAAAGAAGAATAGTGGAATTTTAATTTAATTATTAAAACGTGTTGGCAGGAGGGGCAGAAAGGCCCACCGGGCAAACCCAGATTGCAACCTTCTTTTTTTGGGTAAGCAACAAAGATTGCAACCTTTAACTATCAATATTTTATGTAAATAATTATTTTTTTGCAAAGATTTGTGTCATTAGCATTTTGAATTTTATAAATTTGTATTTACAAAAATTAAAATCAGATTTAGGAATTTAATTATAAAAGAAGAAGGATGAAATTTTAATTTAATTATAAAAAAGTGTTGGTGGGCCAGCCCTTCGGGCCGAGCCCAGTTTGTCACCTCTAACTATGAGCATACAAAATATTTTTATATTTATCCACACACAAAAAATGTTCTTATAGTCACATTTAGGTTTTTATATTTTATCTCAGAGATGGTCTTTCATTTATTACAATCAGATTTAAAAAATAATAATAAATATTATTTTTTGCAAGAATTTATGTCCTTTGTATTTGAAATTTTACAAATTTGTATTTACAAAAATTGAAATCAGATTTAGTAATTTAATTATAAAAGAAGAAGGATAAAATTTCAGTTGAATTATAAAAATATATTAGCGGGCCGGCCCTCCGGGTCGAGCCCAGTTTTCCATCTCTAATTGTCAGTATTTTATATAAATAACTTTTTTTTGCAAGGATTAGTGTCGTTAATCTTTGGAATTTCAAAAATTTATATTTAAAAAAATTAAAATTAGATTTAATAATTTAATTATAAAAGAAGAAGAATAAAATTTCAATTGAATTATAAAAATATATTGGAGGGCCAGCCCTCCGGGCCGAGCCTAGTTTTTTCACCTCTAACTGTCATTTTTTATTTAAATTTAAAATTTAAAACTTTTTATATTAATTATACATATTTTTATATATTTTTTCTATTTTAATTTATGATTTTTATAATTTTTATATAATGCTTAACTCTTTTTCCACATATCAAGTTCATATAATTTTTCATTTAATTCATTTCCAAATTTTGAATTTATTTTACAATATAAATAATTTTGTTATTTTACAATTTTTTTAATGTTTTTGTTTTCTATGCAACATTAATAGAGCTAAAAAATATCCATGCAAAAAATAGTGGGATATACAACAAAAGAAAAGTAGAGGTCTTTTTACTCATAATATTCAACAAAAGAAAAGTAGTGGAACATTACATGAGTTGTCTGCCACCATAAATGATTAACTTATTCTTCCATTAATTTTTTATTTCGAATTTTAAAAGAAATTACTATTTATTTAATTTTTTATTTCCAAATTCTTTCCCACCATTACAATTTGAAATTTAAAATTGAAATCCAAAATTTGAAATCAATTCAGAATTCGAATTTCAGAAGAGTGAGCAATTCCAATGCAGAAAGCATTTAAAAGAGCTGAGTAATTCAAATGTACAAATCAGTGGGACATTGAATGAGTTGTCTGTCACCATAAATGATTAACTTAATTTTCCATTGATTTTTTATTTCGATTTTTAAAAGAAATTATTATTTATTTAATTTTTTATTTACAAATCCTTTCCCACCATTACAATTTAAAATTTAAAATTGAAATCCAAAATTTGAAATCAATTCAGAATTCGAATTTCAGAAGAATGAACAATTCCAATACACAAAACATTTAAAAGAGCTGAGTAATTGGAGAGCTGAGTAATTCCAATGTACAAATCAGTGGGACATTGAATGAGTTGTCTGTCACCATAAATGATTAACTTAATTTTCCATTGATTTTTATTTTGATTTTTGAAACAAGTTATTATTTATTTAATTTTTTATTTCCAAATCTTTTCCCACCATTACAATTTGAAATTTAAAATTGAAATCCAAAATTTGAATTCAATTCAGAATTCGAATTTCAGAAGAATGAGCAATTCCTATGCAGAAAACATTTAAAAGAGCTGAATAATTCCAATGTACAAATCAGTGGGACATTGAATGAGTTGCCTGCCACCATAAATGATTAACTTAATTTTCCGTTGATTTTTTATTTCGATTTTTAAAATAAATTATTATTTATTTAATTTTTTTTATTTCCAAATCCTTTCCCACCATTACAATTTGAAATTTAAAATTGAAATCCAAAATTTGAAATCAATTCAGAATTCGAATTTCAAAAGAGTGAGCAATTCCAATGCAGAAAGCATTTAAAAGAGCTGAGTAATTCCAATGTACAAATCAGTGGGACATTGAATGAGTTGTCTGCCACCATAAATGATTAACTTAATTTTCCATTGATTTTTTATTTTGATTTTTAAAAGAAATTATTATTTATTTAATTTTTTATTTCCAAATCCTTTCCCACAATTACAATTTGAAATTTAAAATTGAAATCCAAAATTTGAAATCAATTTAGAATTTGAATTTCCAAAGAGTGAGGAATGAGAAAAAAATCGAAATATGTGCATTAAAAATCTCCTAATAACTTTTAAATTTAAAAGTTACATTTTAAATTCTTTATATTAATTATACATGTTTTTAAAAAAAAAAGTAAGTTTTTCTCTTTTAATTTAAAATTTTATATTTTTTAAATTGGTTATACATATCAATTAAAAACGTTTATATTAATTTTTTTTTAAAAAATACTCATACGAAATTTTTTCTTTTTTTAAATTATTTTTTAAGTTAAAATTTTAATTTATTTTCTTTTAAAGTTTATTTTTTTCATTTAATTTCCTAATTTAAATTATATTGTATCAAATATATTTAAATTTTTATAATTTTAAACATTTTTTTTGTTTCATTTATAATTTTCTCTTTTAAATTTTAATTGTGTTTTGGTGAGAAATTGATTTATTAATAAATGGCAGTTAATGGTGTGTTGTTATGTCTAATTCTTTAATCAGTCTTTTAAAATTTCTTTCACGGTATGCTTTATGACATTTACAGAGAATAAACTGAAACGCAGAGCGTTATATACTAGACAAAAATGGCAGTTAACTAATCCAAGATTCATTATAATTGTATTTTAATAAAAATCATTTCTGTTTTGAGTTTCAACAAAAATCTAAAAAGCTTGAAAACTTTTAACTTCTTCTGATGATGAAATCACGAATAAACTAAAACGCGAAGCGTTATATTTATGATTAAACCTCAACGAAAATCTGCAAAAACAATTTGCTGTATTTATTATTTAAAAATGATTTAAAATATTTATGATAATTTTATATTCAAAATGAGAAAAAGTTCTAAAATTTATTAAATAAATTACCTTAATTCTAAAAAAAAATTATGATAATAAATATTATCTGCTATATATAATAACATTCACATGCCAATAAATGTATACATAAAGATATTTAAATTTCTATATACTCATCTAAAACATATTGCTTACCGATGTAAAAATTCACATGGAAAAATGTTTATTATTATTACACTAAAAATTAAAATAAAACTTTATTTTTTGACATCAGAGCTCTCAAGTTAATGCTCAAGAAGTTGAAGACATCATCAAATGACAAGCAAATAAAAGCACCTCTCTTCAACGAAATTACCACAAAAGACAAAAGTAGTACCAAGAGTAAAACATACTCAATCATTTCATATTGAGGGGTTGCTTGTAGAACTCCTGCTGATATTCTTATGGTGAATTACATGGCTAACCAATTCGAGCCTTCCGTGTATCTCGAGCTTTTCAAACTTAATACCTATACATAGCAACCAAATATAAATCAATAAGAGAAAGGAAAACAAAAAAATAGAATGGTGGGTATCAAACGATTAATTTTTTGGTGGCATTGTTAAAAGGTATAACCAACCATTAGTGTGAACAATTTCTCTAAAAACTTGATAGCAAATGCAAAAAAATGGGGCTGGTAGCAGGGGCCAATACTCAAGTGTGAGCACTTGATTCTTTTGACTCTGTGACTGATACATTGTTCAGTAGTAGGTACTCGACTTCATGACTGATAAAACATTTTTACCATTATGTCAAGCTTCCTTATTTATAATTGACAAGGAAGGGGCTGTGATACCAGGTAGACAAATAACATAGATCATTAACCATACCATCTTCTCTTTCCTGCTTCTTCTACTTTTCCTTTGGTGCTGACTTCACCTGGACAACTATATCAAGAGATGCAGTTTAAACAATATTTTTGAATTGTCTACAAAAAATTGACTAAAGGAAT